GCTGGTTGAGGTATATATATATATATAGCGGAAGAAGTTTGTAAAAAGTAGATTGATATTGTCGTCTGAATTGCGTATTGATGTTTGATCCCCGAGATAGAACTGGAGTTGCATCGTGATGTTTGTGGTTCGGTGCTCTGTGAGGTGGCTAGCTTGATGCATCCGACCACTAGCTGCACACGTGGACTGATTACATGTAGACAGAACTACATTCCCCAAAGTTACACGTAGCACTCTCTCTCCGATCGTGTTTATCCCTTTGCTTGCACAAACTCCCTTGAAGAAGATTCGAGATACACGCACTCACCCGAGCATTCATCTACTTTCTGTTATCCGTGGCGATTCCTTCCGGTCGTTGTGGACAACTAGCGTTGCTTTATGCACTTTGGATTACCAGCTGTGCTTTTGCGTTTAGAAGAACAAGTTGTTCTCTGCCTGTGGCTATAAGAGGGACCTCTTCACCTCTTCAATTGTTTCAATTCACCTCGATAGGCTTTGTTCGTCGGTTCCCTTCTATTCAAAGATCACGAATTGGTTTTTGTTGTGGGCCAGGGTCACAATGTATCACTCGATACAAAATCTTGACATTCTTTATAAGTCGACGGTATTGTGCTTTTTGGTAGCACTGCGCTGCGATACATGTACTTTTGAATACCACCAAAGATGGCAATGGGTCCCTTTCCGAGCTCGGGGAGCTCTCTCTCGTCTATTTAGCCTCTGGTAAAATAAATAAATCGAATATATATTCTTCCTAAGCTGGAATAACACACCATATTCCAGGAGACCGCACATGCACACGCTACCCCAGCCCTAACACGAACCTGTTGTTTACTCTCAGGGTCTACTCCATCCTCGCGCATAAGTATAGCGACCGGAAACCGACAGACAGCCCGACCAACTCTTTTGATGGTGGAATATATTCACATACCATCACTCGTTCTTGGCAACCAGTTCCTTCGCCCCGCGACTGTAGATAGTTGAGCCACACTGCAGTTAATACCATCCGATCGAGCATATACTGTTGAGTAGAAATCTTGGTTCACGCTCTTCTCCGCCGGGCCCCGGGGGATATCCTTTTCACGGCAGTTCTGTCGAGCTACCCGCGTGAGATTGTCGCGTGGTTTCCCTAGGAGTCGGACGTTCAGAAACTCCAGCCCCTTGGCCCCGGGTGTCGCTTTAATTTGATACGATCAACTGGCGATAAGGAGCGCGCATCTCATGTTTGACGACCGCAAGGCAAGTCGTTACGATCGAGCTTTATCTTAGCTACCCCTCACTTTTCTGATAAGGGATTGGTTCAATCTGACGCTCTCCCCGCACTTTTGTTTTTGGGCCAGGCGGGTGATGCTAAATATTAAAGTCAGTTATTTGTTGCAATGAGAATTACTAGAGTCAAGCAGACTTGGCCGAATCATGATCTACTACTAACTATACTTAATATATCTGCCAATATTAATAATTTCGACCGGATTCGGTACTTACATGCATATAATATTGTGACGGCGGTTCATATGACACCGATGCAGATATGTATGGCGATCATGCGCCGGCCAGCGGAGAATATCGCCCGGAAAAGAAAAAAGACCTAGCTCTAGAGCACAAAGGAAGTAGCATTGGCACTGGAGTACATGTAGGTATATGGAGTTCAGTGGATATACAATACTTACATTTACATAGAGTAGTCGGCCAGCTGGCTACGTCGTTAAACATCCGAACGCACGCTCCGTGAGAATCCGGCGTATTTCGCACCCACCAGGCTCCGGGCCCGGATCGGGGAGCTGCAGATCATCCTCATATATATATATAACTGGCACGTGCACGCCGCGGGGAACATTTAAACTATGTTGCCCTATGCAATAGGAGAGTCATCAATCTCATGTGAGACACAGTCTTCACACGAATCCAAAGCTGCACGAGCTAGTGCTGTAGGAAATTCAGCCTAGTCCAGCTGAGCACTGGCGAAAGAAAATTCTCGAACATGTTCGTACCTTAGGAACTGCGTTGTGCAGGAAGTGGTAATGTTCTGGATCATGAACAAAAAGTACTCAGATCAGGTGTACTACAATTGCAACAAGAGCCGGACGTTTGATCTATGTTGGTACAATTGGAAACATAACAACGCACTAGTATAGAGCTCATCATGTACGTACCACACATGCAGCACGGTCATCTCATCATGACTCTGCCATAATCCATAATATCATATATTGTGAAACATATTATCTTATATGTATGTATGGGATAGCTGGGGGGCGGAACGTACGGATCACAACTCGACACAAGCTCCATGTAGTGACGCCATGGAAGAGGTAGGTACCCGTTGGAAGGACACAGACACAGACATAGACACCCACCTACCGGTGAATCTCCTGGGAGATGGAGTAAAAACGCCTACGACACGTGCGAGTCTATCGTCCGGACCAGTGCACTGCAGGCAGGAAGGCAGACCAACTAGATGTCCCACACATCGTTGATCTAGCACACACCCGGTACCCATGTACGGCCACGGCCGGGACGTTATGCTATGCTAGTCAAGTCAACGTACGTACGTTAGCCGTACTTGTAGCTGTACAGCCTCTTTTTTGGTTCCGAGGCGTCCGGGGCGTGGATATTTCAGGTACAGAACTTGAGGCCAGTCGTTAGCCTTGAGCCTCTTAAGATCTTCAGTTACTGTAATTTGGGATCACCAGTGTCAGGTAATATTATGACCGACGATCACCATCGGATCGTTGGCGCATGAAGGGCCAAGAATCAGATAATATGTCTCATCCGCCCCTCATGCGCATAAACGTACGATAGAAGCTAGACCAGTGCAGCTTTGAAGACATATCAATTGATCACCTCGCAGTAACTTTCATCATTTTTCTCGGCCATCCAGTGAAACAATCTCGGAGAATCATCCTGGTGGATAGATACAGTATATACACCGCCTGCCCCCTAACCTAACCCTCGCTACTTTAGTGCATTACAGCTAGTACATGTATGCCAATGGGTACTAGTGTACATGGGCCCGGGGCCAAGCAAATAAGCATAAGCTATAGTTAAGGCGCGGCGGGTGAGCATGAGCATACTCTAAAACCCAAAACTAAAGCTACCCGTCAGTCGCTCTGAATAAGCTCCGAGATAAGGAAAAGATACTTACCCAAGTACCTACTTCCTAGCTACAAGTACATGTATCTAGTAAGCGCCGAGAGCTTCTGATGATATATCGAATTGCCGAAAAAAAATCTCGGCATGGTGGTTCGTCCAAGTTTCGGACCGGAACCCAGCTATAGCTAGATATATAATATAATGGAGATAGGGATGAGATGAACCGTTCACAAAACACGTTATATAACTAATCGTGCTGGTAGGGCAGGTAAGATATATATATATAGCTCCGTCTTTATAAGCAGTGTGTTCACAGAACAAGTAAAAGATCGACCACTGGCCACGGAATTGAAGGTCCTTGTGCTGGATGTGCTGTGTTGATGTGTACGGAACTCCGGAAGGTATGTTATCAGTGATGATATATGAGCGGATATCGTGGTAAGTATGTTTCTGCCCGGGAACTCGGAACTGGACTGGAGCTCGGAGGGGTGTTGTTTTGTTTCTGTAATTGGGTTTGACGTTTGCAATTGTTTTGATTTGATTGTTAAGCTAGGGGGGTACTGATATGATCATGATTCGGGGTTAGCTTACGTAGCTATAGACTTGGCTAGAAATGATTGTAAGCAGAGTATCAAAAAGAAAAACAATTGGTCATGAACGAATTCCAAATACCGGTGAAGGATTCGGACAATAGTAGAATCAAGCACAATATACCAGATCCAGCACCCCGAAATGTGCAAACCCACGACATCAAACATCACCATCTCCAAATTGCAAAGCCAAGCTAGCTAGGCTCAGCTAACCAATGTACCTCCAAGCCCAAGCCCCCCCCGTACCAACTACACCAATGCCATCCAGTCCCCAAGGGCAAATTTTCGCATCTCCCAGCCCAGCTACGTGCTCACCTCCCCACCTACTATCCACTCCACTGCAAACCTAGCTACCCCGCCACGCCACACCCATCCCAGGCCGTCCATAGTGTTTGTAATTATAATGGGGCAACAGATCTGAAAAGAATAAGTGGATATATGTTTATAATTACAAGTGCACATCTGCCTTATCCCCCACCACTATTTGATTGGGCAGGGATAATATTAGAGGAGCGAGTAGTAGCTAGATAGCTATCGATTCAGGGCGAGTGATTACTCTGGCCCGGTCCGCAAAAACATGCCGCACAGTACGGGTACATTTGTACGTAGGAATCGAAATATCTGGCTGTTTAGCAGCTAGCTGGATAGATACGTTATCCCCCGCCCCTCTCCTCCTCCCCGCACCCCCCACGTTTTTCAATGCAGGCGGGTTGTCTGTTTAGTAGGCTTATTATCGGTGGGGTTGAGAAACAATGTTTGGTTTGGAGCGCTGTACTTATCCTGAAACTAGCTACTTAAGGTTATGGTGCAGTGCAGTAGAAGCAATTAAGTACCTACACCAGAAGGTGGTTCCTTATCAACCAAGACTGGAACCTTTGGGAAGAAATAGATATGCTTAGAAGCAACTACACGTAGTACTATACTTGGTAAGTTATAAACTCATCACCTTGTGTTGAGAATCTCCTTAGGCCACTCCATGTTCATGAAAACGACGGGGAGAATAAAAGTAAACTATAACTTTGAAGCCTCGTTTCAGTAATAACTATGAAAGACAAATGAAAGGACCAAGGAATGTAAATAAGAAAATAAGAGAGTAAGCAAGGAAAGGAAGTGATGAAACAAGGTCAAAAATTCAGCCCACCCAACCCAACAAAGCAAAGCCAAAAACAACGATAAGAAACCGGAGAAACTCTTTTCAAAGATGTAGACGTAATAACCAAACCCGAAAACAAAAAAGAACCACCCATGCCAAACGCCCACCACCAGCTATCCAAAAATCTATCTAGCCCAGCTAGTTGTTGCACGATTATACCTGTTACTTCACCCCAGGTGGATAGCAATACTAACTCCATCCTCGCTTCCGATCTGATTAACAATCCTATTGACTGTTTCAGACACCTCTGAGTTGATTAAAACAGTTACGACTCGCTGCCCCATATTTTCTGACTGCACATTTGGAGAATATCCTTGCAGTAGGCTGCTCAGAGGCCCTGCTTCTTCCACCATGCCATTATAATCTAGTAACGCAGTTTGGTCTAGGGAAAGCGACCGAGATATCATCTGTTCTGCAGCGTGTTTAGAAGTGCTTGAACCGTAAGAGACCGAGCGGAGTCGGTTAGCGTTGAGTTGAAGACCGTTGAAAAACATTGACATTTCTTCGTTTGAACCAGGCGGTGTGTTGTTTGGGAAGGTTGCTTCAGGTGTGCTGCCAGCATTTGAAGATGATGTCAATAATGACCAGTCAGTGGGTGACAACGGTGGGCACTCTGAGGTTTGGAAGGTGTATGGAGGTCCATGAACATCGGGCGTCATTTTGCGCCCGCTGAGAGGGCTTCCATACATTATTTGGTCTTGATTGTCGGAGGGCGGATCTTCATTGTACTGCTGCTGGCGGCCTGTTTGAGCAAAAAGAGCATCAATTGACCCCCCAGTAATAGTATCTTGTGCCGAAGAGGAGGAATTGGAACGTAGTTGTCGATCTGCATCAAGACTCAAACCTTGCTGATGGAACTGGGGTGATGAATTTGCCATAATTACTGGGGATGTTGCCTCTTGGGGGTGTTCCTGCTGCTGTAGCTTAGACGGTGCTTTGATGTTAGGAGAGCTTGATTTTTTTTGAGCTCCCGTTTGAGATCCGGAATGTTTGGTCTTTGGCTCCATTTTTCTGATCAATAACGAGTATCTATTCATGGCGCGTATCGTCAGTTAGCTCTCTATATTCCTTTTAAACTTTATTGTAGATCTTATTGAGGATAATTCAACAGCGATCACCCATCGGAGTTGGTACCTGTTTTTGGCCGAAAGGCTTGTACGACGTGGGAAATAAGCTTTTACAATAGCTTTCCAGTTACGACCATTTTTATTGATGGCTTCTAGCAGTCTGGCATCCTGGTATTTATTAGATTTCGTTTCCCTGACAAAATATCGAATTGTAACATTAAATCAAACCTACCTCTTCGGGTGTCCATGGGCTGTGATCGATACTTGGGTCTAACGCATCATACCACCTTTTCGAGCATTCTATAAAAAAAACTATAGGTTAGACATGGGACTTCACAATATATATAGTTGAGATACAGATCTAGAGGCTTTCTAGCGCCTGTAAATCGAAAGAGATCTAAGGGAAAGAGAAATCCAACTCACGATCCCCGTTTCGCGTCTTAACAACCTGTGCAACGAGCGCCCATCTGGCAAGCTTGGTAAGTATATCCCGACGCAATGGAAGCTTTCGAGTCCCACATACCGACTTCCATGTTCCTGAACAGCTGCCCACAACCGCTCATCCTCAGCAACCTCCCAGGGACCTTTATTGACAGTCGCTGCAACCTTATAATGCCACCTCTTTCGACAATCTTTGTTGGTACGTCCAGGGATACAGGAGGCAATCAAATGCCAGTCACAGGCTGAGTCTCCTCCTAGTAGTTACAGAATTGTCAGTATCGGCTTTAAGAAACATCTTCCTGATCCTACTAGCTAGCGGCTCCATTGCTAGGAATAGTAAAGGAAAAGATGTATCTATGCAAGCTAGCCCTGCTCATTCCAGGAATCTAGTATTCTTGAAAGAGACTGTACTGACCTTTCAAGACTGCGTCCCGCAGTGTTGCGTCTTCTGCCTCGGTCCACTTTCTTCTTTCTCGAGGCATTCCGTCTAGTTGTCCGTTCGTTCGGGAAAGGTTGCAAGGTCTGGACCGGGGCCGGGTGATGAAGTATTCAACGCAAGGCAAAGTACCAGGGAATGGGAAAAGTTACTTGAGAGGAATAAACTATTTTTTTCCCGGGGCAAATTTTAGAAGTCGTAATAGCGGTCGTATTAAATAGCGAGTTGATGAAAATTCAGAGGGGCTCAAAGAGCTATTATATCGACTTGAGCTGGAGAATAGACACCTGCATATAAAGGGCTGGCTCACAGGCTGACTACACACTAGGTAAGAAGTTTGTAGTTGGTATGATGGCAGTGCCCCATCGAATACGGCTAGCCTTGTAATGGAAAGCTGTCATGTAGAGGCACGAATAGGCGTGGGGGGGGAGGGGGGGTGGTAAGGAATATTCCGGAGTCCGGACTCGTTCTTCTGGATCAGCATGTGCACTGGAAGGGTTTTATCGGTAGGTTGTACAAGCAGGAGCTTCTCATCTCACGTTATTCTTGAACTGGTGGTGATTTGTGAAAACTGTATCCATGGTACCTGTCCCTTTTCGCGCCGTCCATCTTCCAGGTATACGTACGTTGTTCTTGAGATTAATCTGCGAAGAGCTAAAGGGAGAGTTAGATCGCTGATATGAGGTTATCTGGAACTCTATTACAAGCAATTCTTTGGATCTGTTTAATTCATTCATTAAAGCTTCCAAACTAACCTACATGTAGATATATGTATGTATACATGTAATTACCTATTGGCCAGATAACAGCCAACCATCCAGCCGGCCCAGCCAAGGCATCGACATTCATATGTTGAACAATATTTACGATGGAAGGAATTATAAAAAAAAAACAATGTATACACATGTAGCATTTTCCTGGCCAAATGACCTGACAATCTATTTGTTACTCGCTATGAACATAGAAGAATGAATAACCCTCTCGCATACAGCCTTGACCTAGCTCACGGAACATTAGTGCTAGTGGCATAGCCGTGGCGGTGAGGCGTTCATCAAACGAAACAAGGCGTAATACTAGCTCACTTATTACAGCCCACATGGTTTATCTACTACTATGAAGTATTTACATGTACTTAGTTAATTATATGTAGTTATATTTCAACACAATCAAGGAATATATGGTCGAGAGACTATAGAAAAAAAGGAAATTCTGGATTCTTACGACCAAGCCACAAAATCATAGCTATTTTAACGATGTGCTTGCAATTCACGGTACCTACCTAGGCCTGATATGAGCTAAATACATGTAGATATAAATTCCATGCCGTATGGATGGTATGGTGGGGTAAATACATGTAGCGTTAGTCAAAACAGTTGAGCTCACTTTACTTTCCATCTACCCATCTCATGCTCATCGAGTCCTAAACCTGTTTGTCTTTGGCCGTCCTACCATGCATTCTGGTTTCCTTTACCTTTTTCTTTTTTTTGTGGTGTGTTTTTCAACTGTCTTCGGTGATCCACCTAGCAAGCGGTGAGAAAACAAGTATGTCCCTTTAAAGTAACTGCATGTACCCATAAGGCTGCATTTCTCTCAGGTTCAAGGTCGATTGAAGATTTGGGTGGTGATGATCCTTGTTGATAAGAACGACGTTGTTATCACAAATAGTAAGTACATGTAGGTACATGTACTCTAGGTATTCCTGGATAATGATCTCGTTAGGGAAAATCTCGACTAATGCACGCACAGGCAGACAAATTTACGAAGAAAAGGTACCATCCACCCCGTATTCTGTTGTCATGAGTTACGATGTTACCGGGATGACACGTAAGGTTGCACGATGTGCCGACAGTAGGTACAGAGAGCAGCGGAGTATCCGCGGTGATTCCCACCGCAGAAATTAGCCTACTACCACACCCACAACCACATGTACGTATGCAAGGTGCTTAACGCATCATGTAACATGTAATCTACTCCTACTCTACTCCAGCTCTAGAGTACTAGAATAGGCACATCGTAAATCTCAAATCACATCTGCCTCCGCATGACGCATAGATTCGAACGGCACACTCCCCCCTGTAGCCGCTCCCTTCGTAAAGTTAAGCTTCGTCAAACCGCTTTCAACTAGTGCTGTTTCGAAACAGGGAACAAGGGGACTTTCGGAGGGGGTAAGTGGACCTGTAACGATTTGAGGCTAAGTATCTGGTTCTTGAGATTTTGGTTTATTTCTGGGTGCTTCTCATAATCATTATCCCCGTGCCTAGGTTTGGCTGGGCGATACCTGCTAATACTATGGGATGCTAGGAATACTTTCCTGGGGTTTAAAGAATTTCGGCATTCGATCTGCTTCGATCGGGCGGGCACAATATAAAGCTCATCTGCCGAGAACGGAAGGGACGTTCCTTGTACTTCTCGGATAATTAATTCTCCGCCAAATGCTAGTTATAATTAGCCTTAATTCCGTTGTCAATAAGCTTAACAAAAAATGAGGGGCTCAAGGTAAAAAAAGGTGAGTTTGAAGAGGTTCTGGGACAGTACATGTTGTTACCTACAAAGTCATAGGTAGCTGCCAGAACTACCTCGAGAGAGAAGTACAGGTATGTACTTTAATTTGGCATGGCTACCGGATGAGGGAGAACCATGCTAAGGTATTAGAGGTTGTAGCGTTGAAACGAACAAGGCACCCAGCCGCTAAAGACACCCGTCGCCTAATCAGGAAACGCTACTCTACTTGTGTATGTAGAGATCTGACTAACGCCACTACCGCTGTAGATCTTACAGCCACACTTTGTTTGAACGTCCTTGCTTCTGGTAATTGTTTTGAAAATCGCACAAAGAACCCTCAATCTCAAGCGGTATCAATAGATGCATTGGAGTTTCCTGGGGTAGTCGATGTAGGGAAGCTCTATTTAATCGATCATGGGTGTATGCATGTATATTGGCTTTATCTACATGCTCTAGGCCGTCACGATCGTACGACGAAGCCAGCTTGGAGCGGACTGTGTAATTGTAGTAGTCCTAGCGCGACCTAAGGAGTCACTAGTAAGAATGTGACATACATGTAGCTATATGTACATGTATTGTACATGTACTCTACTCTATCAAATTTTAAGTGTCACATCTGGTGGCTAGTCTGGATGGCACAGCTACCATACCTACAGCATTTATCCTTTCTTCAACATAAACCAATTAAGTTATCTTGCCATCACGACTTCATCTTGAGACTAGGCCGACCCATCTGTAGCATCTGAAATACACCGACCCCCCCCCCCCCCAAAACCCCCCTCAACAGAGAGAAACCCGAAATCAAAGGGTGCTGTCCCTGGATACATAAACCAAGGACACATTTGGCCACGAGCGCCCATGCAAGTATATCTGTACCCTCGAAGTTATCATGTACTTCATGAGTTCAGTCTAGCTCATCGTTAAGAGGTGTTACTACTAGGGTTTCTTGGAGCTCCGCGCGGCCGGAGTAGCTAAGGGTTTTGCTGCTATATATATAAATATATTCAAAGGAAATCTATCCCACGTTATCCCAACCAGAGCTATGGGTACACGTACGTACAGTCTGCCGGAGTCAGGATTTTTTCGTAATGGAAAGAGGGCGAAACTCTAGGTACACCCTTCTAGAAACCAAAGATACTCAGCCACAACAAACAGTTCAAGGAATAAGAAATTCTCTTACCGGACTTGACTGATATGATCCAAGAGCCTCTTCTATATGTACACCTATGCAAAACTATCATAATAACTTGCAGCGACCCCGGGTAACTAAACCCACCGCTCTTTGCACGTCAAGAAGTACGCACAGCAATTGGATAGCGGAACTCGGCAACCAGAAGATCTACAAAGGGCGTGCAGAAAGCTAGTAGAATGACGCTCAATTAACGGTCTCCCCTGTGCATTTGGCCCAAATATCCCTCCCCCCGCGCAATACGTATCAAGAATTTAAAGAGATGACTAACGGTTTTACCCGGGTTCTTCGAGTTGAATATGGAAAATGCGAGTACCTAGTTGTCGTTAAAACAAGAACACCCTTCAGGCCCGAAGTAAAACAGGGATGTATAAGAACTTCAAAAGCATTTGTAGACCTTTTGATTACAAGGTAACCCTTAATTCGAAGAGAAGAGAAGAGCGAGAATAAGGATGATTTTTTTTTTTTTTGAATAGAACAGATCTCGAGATAAACTGTCGCTCGCCCACCCGTTCCTCCTTATTATTTCGATTCACATGCGCTTAAATATCCAAATCTAACCCCATAGTTCTGCGGACATTTAATGATGTTGTCTATCACGAACTTGTTGAGGCTCAACCCCATGAGAAAGCGATTTTTTTTTATCAAGTAGGGATCGATTGTCTACCGATATGAGTACGGGACTGATTCGTTTTTATTCACCAGGACGTATGGCGTACGAAAGTTCTGTGGCACAGGAAATCAAACAAAAATACCAGCTCGCTACGCAGTGAGAGACATATTACGCACCGGCCACCAGAAACGCTTATTCAGTTGCTGCCTCATGGGGCAGTTCTGGCATAACTATGTATGTGATGGAGAGTTATTTTTGATATCTACACTATCTACAGATATTGGGCCAATTAACTAACTGATGGAATTTCGTATTCAGGATATAACTAACTCAAGAATCGAGAAAGAAGTTTGCCCTTGCACTTTATTGGTTCTATTATGTCTGCCTGGGGCTGAAATAAAGTTGTCTTGCTTAAGGCTTACACGAATATCCAACCAATAGACACGCACGTTTCGATGATAACATACGACATCTGGAATGGAAGACAAATGAAGGTCTACACCAGAGCCACGTCGTCACAGCCTGGCAACTAGAGGATCCGATCGAAACTCCCGAAATAGACACCATAGATACGTTTCTATTTGTACCAATTTGCCAGACCTGCAGACGATCCGTACCGAAAGAAGAATTTTGAAGACTGGATGGGGCTCACTTGTAATTCTTCGGTCCCTGTAGCCAACCCGCTAATGGATTGATACACTGATCCGACGTCCCCTATTCCCATCGTTTGGTGGAACCGCTTATTCGGACCAACACGACTGTAAACCTGGTTCATTGTCACATAATTTCAGCCTTTTCAATATCATGGATAGATAGCGTTTTGGCCTTGGTACTGTGCTGTTGATCATTTGGAAAACTCCGGACCGCTAAAGACATCTTGACTATGCTATCGATACTAGGGACAGGAATCTCGATAATGTGGGTTCAAAATCTGGTTCTATTTTATTTTTTCAAGCTAATGATCAAAACAGGGCCTAAGCCGGTATGGACCGGAGGTTCGGTTCGCTTTGATGATATAATATCTCCATCACTATATACAATTGATCAATGGGTCCCATGCTGATCAGGGCATGGTTCAAACAAGATGGCTCTACATACACTGCTATGACAGGCAATACTCAAGACTTCTAGAATATCAAGCTTGCTACCCAATGTGGAGGGCGGGCGGCTCTCAAAGCCGCAACTGTGGCGCTGAAAAAAGCAGCTGAGTAGGCGCATGCAGACCCGAAAGCCGAAAAACTCACACAACCTATGAACGGTACCCACTGTGTCTCCCCTCGCATAGGACACAGAAAATCTGTGCGCACATATTTTAGTATTTACCGATCTTTTTGGTAAAGTACTAACACTTATGGGCTAACAATATCAAACAATTCAGCAATTTTGTAGTCACGGACATGTAGTTGCAACTATATGTCCTCACATACGATTTTGAGCTTTAATTTACATGCGTTAAATTATAGGATGTCCTTGCTATTGAGATTAAGGGCCATAGGCCATGAAGTCTATACCAGGACGACTGAGATATCACCATTGAAGAGGTAAATCCTCTCATTGCCATCCCTTGTGGCATAATCTAATGATGAGCGTGGATACTTTCTCCAATGTTAACTTTTGATTCCGCCGTCGGAACGGACATTCAGCTAGCTACGCGATCACAAACTGAGACACGGATAATTCTTTTGATTTCTCAACGCCGGTCACATTTGCATGCTGATTGATCACTTAACGCAATGCCCAAAGGAGCTGCATCCGTTATCGGGACGTAGACACCCCGAATTACAGAACACAACCCGTCACAGGTGCAGTCTAAATGCACTACCATCTGCACCCTACTCGTCGGTGAAACCCCCAGGCTTCGGTGGTTTACTTGCGACAGACCGCCAGCCTTATAATAATATCTTATACTAAGATGGCATCAAACATATTAGGCATATGTCTTACAATCTACAGCTTCACGGATCACTCTATTTAATACCCCGATTCTTGAACAAAGAATAAATATTATCAAGTCCCGACCGACCGGGTCCCGCGGATTTATCGATGGCGTTTGCTCGCGAACATCAACCACGATCATACTGGCTTTGGGTGGCGTACTGAGCCAGTCATGACCAAAAAAAGGAATTTTTACTTTGATAATAATAGATATGGCACCATCTTTTCTTGGTTATGACGGGTGCATTCTTTATGAAGAATGTTGGCGATCATGCAAAGCCCCTCGCCTGATAATTAGCTACATACGTAACATGAATTTTAACTTGGCTGACACTTGCAGCTTTTCTCCAGCCTAGGGAAAAACTAAAACTACCCCTCATCCTCACGTATCCTCGATCTTGTGTGCATGGTCAAGGTCATATCGTTTGGAAAACTACGTGTGCTCTGGACAAGGTCTGGTCTCATGGGTCTTTTAGTTGCTTTCGGGTTCCAGTTCAGTATGCCGCATATTCTCATCGCCAATATCTTCCAGGTGAATTCAATACATCAAGTCTGATTGGGACCGGAGTTCATTAGCTATCCGCCCGTCCATACACACATCATGTAGCCTATGCCGGAGAGGAATGTATCAAATACACTTACCTCGAAAAGGTGACATTCATGTCCTAGAAATTGATCCAAAATACATTTACTAAATTCGGAAATAATCTCATGAGGTGGGAAAATAGAGGTTGGTTCGTATTCAAACTGGCATGTGTCACAATTTAATTGATAGATTCAACAATTTGGATTAACAGTTGCCCATACGGATAAAATACTGGATCGAGACTTCGTTCCGGTTTACATTTTTTTGACCGGCGCTAGAAGTTGTTTTGCTGGGATGAGACCTTTAAAATGGATTGATGGCCAAAGGAATCACAGCAGGTAAAACTACTATAAACTCCAATTTGCGAATTATTGCGTCAATTGGGGGGGCTGCAGCTCTATTACTCAAAAATATGGATATCTAATCAAAATTATGGCATATGTTACTTGGCAGCTGAAAACTTAGGAACACCCATTATGACTGGGTAGCTCAGTCTCGATCTGATTTGAACTAGGCAAATATGTATGTTCTTCATACATTCATGTACAGAATCTAATACCTAAGGCTAAACCACTGCAGTACAGAGATTCCAAAACCTATTCTGAAAGTGAATTACATCCTTTTTGGTAAACGGAATGATATTACTGAACGAAGGTAGTCAGAAACATTGAGAGTTGGTTTTGAAATTTTATCCATAAAAGGTTAACCTCGAATCGGGAATTGTAGAAAGGAAGTCATGAAATATTTTATCTTTGGTATGTATATGATATTTTAATTTCCGCAGGGCCGGGCCGATAGCTAAACCGATAAGGCAGATGAACCTGGTTGATTTGGACATTAAGAGACCGAGTGATATATGATGATTCAGAAAACTTTCCATGTTTAGTCGGTTTGATTTCTTGAGAGTATTATTAAGAAGTTTAGTATGCTGAAACTTTCCTCTGACTTTACAATTTCTTTAGGATATCCTAGGTATACTTCTGGTTGAGGAATCTTGCCCTCGCCCGTCGACCGAAGGCTCCCATAAGCCATATCTTTCCTTCTTTTCTTCATCTAGCTACACTCAGCGCAGAAACCTCGCCATGAAAAGTACAAATATTTATCTTGTTAACAATGACAGTATCTTAATCACATTTCTCTATGGGCTGTGCCATATGTGCCGGCTAACAAACCGGCGCGATGTTAGTGCTAGCTGTCGGGCTCGAATAATACTGGACGAAATTGCAGTTAAATACCTCTATGGCGATACCCCCACATTGTATGAACATGTGGGGGTACTTACTGATTTATGGGTTTCTTTATTAGATCCTTTAATCGAGCCTAATCTTGACTCGGTACCGGTAATAGTGCTGAAACACGCTGATTACCTGGTAAAGGATTGTGAGCTGGTTCCCCGGATTAGATATAGCGTCCATAATGGAAGCACAATCAAGCGGCTAGTACTGCGTTCGGTAAATTATCGTGGTTTCGGGGGAAGAATCCAGGGAATGTTCAGGGATACCGGGGTCGCGTTTGTATGGATGGATGTGAAGAACCGAGTTGCTTCATGTGGTGTTACACATGGGTGAGAACAAGGGAGACAACCCTGGAAGCAATAAACACACCCGCTACTTGATAAAGTTAGCAAGCGGAAAACTTCTGCAGGTGTATTCTTAAGAAAGGGAAGAAAAGAAGAGGTTGGTTTACAGACGTTGATCGTGAAGAAGGGGTTTCACTCGGGGTTGTGAGTTTGCACATGTGGGAACATGGAGCATCTATTCAATCATTAGCAATTGCAAGGTATGGCTGTAAACCGATTGTGACTCCCTCCAGGTTCTGAGATGGATTCAGACCCTGATTCCCTGTTGGTGGACTCGCTACCGGAAGTGCAATAGTTTGCCATCGAGGCATGGGGTTGGAGCATAGTAAACCCCTTCTTGATTATTAGTTATGGCACTTCTGCATTTGATTGGCATTGTATCCACTAACCTATTAAAGTTCTGAGCACTTTAAACCGCGAATCAGTTCTTTCAATGCTACAGATGTAGTGTGCTTGGTCATATAGGTACAGGTCGAAGAAAGCATCTTGATATGGTAGAATAAAATGTTTCAAATGCAGAGTTGTGGAACTTAGAATGAAGGAGAAGTAAAAGGGAAGCTGAGTTACAAGTTAGAGTGCCAACAATGACGTATACTTGATAGATTGGAGGATACATGTAACGAGCGTATTGATCGGCTCGAAAAATGGAGAGGGGATGCTAGATTATGTACAAAATACACACTCACCGCATGATATGTAGTTCAGTTGATTATACCAAAGAGGAAGTAAGACACATATGTGTCTTTCATGACATTGATAACCAGAATCTCTTGGCAAAGATATATACATACACTTTTCTGTGCAGTACTATTGAGTTTCTCGATCAGTTAAGTAATCACTACATATATGGTGTTCATATCACCTACAATTTGCCCTGCGTATATAATCCTCCGAAACACAACAATTTCGGCATCTTTCAGGGGTGCTAAGCATCTTTCTCAACTAAATAAAAGCCACTTTCTTGTAGTAGAGCTGTCACGATGTCTCCCTACTCGTCCGGGGCAAAAAGAAACCTTCAAATGACAGTTAGGAGCTAGTGACGTATTATGAAATGTCTCGATTTAGAAACTCAGCGACTCATTTGTATCCCTGCTTTAATTTGAGACTTGCATTCTTACACAGGTTCTCCTGCCATTGACAAGCATTCTACCCTCAAAGACCACCCTGAGGTTGATGAACAGTGCCAGGGGGCTATTCATGCAAATCAACTTGATCCACGAGGTAAAACCTCTCGGAGCAGATTAGAGTAAGGGGGGGTAGGAGGAGTCTGCGAGGCTGCTTGATCGAGGCATGGTGGCAGATTTCCCTCAAGGCGTCCTCGTGAGCGCTGCCTGTCTTGAAGGCTATGATTCTTCGAAGTGAGGGCGCAATCACGTACAGTAGTACTACTTCTTTCATCATCGGGTAAGCCCATCTGACAAATTCAGAGATAACCCTAACCCTAATCCAACTAGTACCCCCTTACCTTGGATAGGGTTGTGTTAAAGCTTGGAGGTGTCTGTCTTACGAGCCTCAGCCTGACGACCCCCCCCCCCCCCCCACTTGGCAACTTTATCGAATGTGCTGAATTTCCCGCATGTAAGCTTAAGAATACAAAGATCACTATTTACATACCCAGAATAGAGTAAGAAGTGCCCCTAGATGAGTTAGAGGTGCCTCAAGGGAACTTTTCCCCAGTTTGCCTTGACTCGCAGTGCTCTTGTTGGCTGCACTCAAGTCGTCGTCACACATAAATTTAGAATACCACAAACCCTGACCCTGGGTGTGCCGGGGCCGAGCTCACATCTCTTGTAGAATATAGATCTTTCATATTACAAATGTCAAATGATCAATGATTCAAGAGTATAAAAATTTGTTTTGGCCAGAACAGAGTTCGAGTAATATCTTCCGCGTGGAGTCTTTTACGAGGCCTGAAAGTACCTATGTGCTCACAATGACAGGAACCCAAATGCAAACGATCGTTTTTAAGATCGTTCATGATCACAAGTACTCCACAGCCCGGGAAAGACGCGGTGTCCGATTTACACACTAGGCCGCTATACACACTTCTTGATTCTTGGTAGCGGACCGAGATAATAAGGAAGGAAGAAAAAAAAAAGAACTATCGAGTCTCTTGGATGCACAGAGTACAGGATACGAGACCCGAAAAGCTAAGTTCCACAAGATATGGTTGATTCCGGGATTCCGGCGAACATGAGGTGCGGCAGCCAAATATATATACATGTATACAAGCTTTCGCTTGAAAGCGCTACAGGTCTATAAAACAAAGAAAAACAAAAGAAAAGACATAAGTACATAGGAAATCATTAAGAACACCGAGCGCTGTAGAACAAGAAAATAGTAGTAAAGAGAACCCTAACTCCGAAAAATTACAAGTTGACACCTAAAGCTAGTGATATCCCATGAAGCAAGACGAAAGGAAAGTGCCGGATGGGCAGACTGTTTTTTTTTCTTTTTTTTCTTTCTTTTTTTGTGTACTCATGTTTTTTTTTGTTATGTGGCGAACATTGTTACGTGCAAGCCCCTACAAGATCCTGTAACACATCTAGAATGAGAAATCAAGTTAGCGGGACGTTTCATTCCTAATACACGAGAAGACGTCTTACCATCATACGCCAAAGATCCACAAAGGTAGTCATTGCGACCAAGTGGTTGCGAGTCCTGAATAACAGAGTGGCCGTTTGCCTTCAAACTCTTCATGATGTTTTCCAGCGAGCTCAATGTGCGTAGATCATTCGATTTGCAGACAATGACGACCTTCACACCTCCAACGGCACCTGAAGATTTCAAGGAGAGCAGGTTTCGATTGCCTGTATCGTAAGAATCCGGTGCCTGTGGAGTCGAGACTTGCGGTTGCATCTGTGGGACGACCGAATTACTTCGGGTGCTTGGAGATTGTTAGTTTTTGTTGTGGCAAAGAGGACTTGATGTAATTTACCTTGGATATGAGCTATCAAGAGCCCCCGGGCTATCGTGCATCAATTCACCAGGATGGCTATCAATCATGAAGCCACCAGAACCAATAGAAAGCCCATTATTGTCGTATTGGGGACGACTGCCATGAGTTGTTCCAGGCATCATACTATCAAACCAGCCCCATTCGCTGGAATCAGATTGATGGCCGTCAGAATCATAGCGGGGCTCGAAGAAGTTTCCCGAGCGTTCCGCATCAAAATCAATAAACGCATCCAAGTCCTGGTGGATCTCGGGTCCCCGAGAGTCAATCAAACTCGTAGGAGTATCAAGCGAGTGCATAGTTAAGGGCTCGGTGTCCATGCTGCCAAATTGTGTGGTCTGGGGGCTCATTTGGCCCATGCCGCGCAGGAGATCATCAACGTAGGAAGTGGTGCTGGGAGAGTAGCCTGTTGATGAGGTATTTGAGCTGATAGAAGCATGCTGAGGATGCGATTGAGTTTGGTTAAGCTGAAGCATTGAAAAGACTTGTTAATATACGTATATGTTTTGAGATTTTGTCTCTAAAGCGAATCTTTGGAGTGATGATGGAAGGACTTTGTATTTGTACCCACCTCGTCTAATGACCATATGCTGCTAGGAGAACCCGGGGCCGCATTCGGGGTCGCATTTGCGTTTTTGGCCTGTATTTCTTTCCACCGTCTCATGCATTCTATTAAATTGGAGTCAATACAACATGCACCTAGGCGTGGACCCCACGAAACCAGGGTTCGTGGGCAGGGGTACACATACCGTTATCGTTCCTGGTCATGACAACCTGGGCTACTGAAATCCACCTGCACCGTTACGTATGTTAGCTATTGAATTTCAGGCCCACATGCCCATGTCGCGAAGAAGCCCGAGGAATAATAATAAGAATTTGAAGAGATAGTGCGCCGTCAATCTGCCGGGAGATCTTTTGGCGCCGCAATGAAGCACTATTTCTGCCGATGAAAAAAAGAAGTATATCGCGCACTTACTTCCTTCCAAATTTCCCTACAGCTGTAGAGAGTCGTTCATCCTCCTCCGGTTTCCATTTGCATCTTCTCACCGCCTCCATCATTGTATGATGCCAGCGCTTTCTGCACTCCTTCTTACTCCGTCGAGGTAATGATGCTGCGATTGTATCCCATTTTACTGGCCGTTTTTGTTCTTTCTCTATTGCCCAAATCAGCCATGTAAATACTTCACGCTTCAGTGCGCTGAAGCCTACCTTGGAATACGGCATTTCGTAGTTGTTTGTCTTCTTCTTTGCTCCATAGCCTTTCTGCGTGGGGGTCGAATGTGGACATCATGATGATGGGGACTACTGAGATAACCAGAAAGTTTGAAAAGACTATGATTCTCTTGAACAGGTCTTTGTGATATTTCGAGGCAAGGTGGAATAAAAGCTGTTATGAAATTCGAAATTGAATTTGGATATCAAGTTTGAATGAACGGTGGGAGCCAGTGACTATAAGTAGGCTTCGCTTATGTTGTCGAGAGAGAGGTAGAGCAGGTATATGTATGCTGAAGTTATATCCTGGCAGTGTATCGATGTATGAGTGGGGTGTCTGGGGGTAAGTGCTAAGTTGTAACCTAACTGTCTAACCAATAAGTTTGGAAATACAAGATGTATTTAAACCAAGCTTCGGATCTTAGGGATAGATTACTGATTTGAATTCAAATCTTTGAACCAAGTTATGTGAGATTATAGTGAAGCGGGGTGGGTGTTGTTCGAGGAGGAAAGAGGCATCATTACTGTATAGGGTGCATAAGTATAAAATAAATCTAATAGGAGGACTAAACCTATCAAAATGAGCCTCTAACAATCATACTAGAAAGAAGGAAGAGAACTACCGAAAGCATTTCTGCCTGTGTTACAGAAGCTTTGAACACTCCATACGCATCGCCTTCCCGCTACACGATTCTGATTGGATTCCAAGAGATCGGGAAAGCAGTGGCATTGAGGTGTGAGTACGAGGTCAGGCCCTAGGGTGGTTCACAAAGATTTTCCTTCTCCGGCGCTCTGCAGATCTTTCTTATTTTGCTGCCATCTGCAATTCGACAGAGGTAATGCTAATTGCTTATTCCGGTTCACAGATTTTCTTTTTCTTTTTTTTCCGGCCTCCGTCACATCCCCTGTGCATTACTAGTAGACTTGATACTTCACTATGCACGGTGCGCCAGGCCTTATCCTCATTAGCCTTTTGATATTTTAATTGGAAGTTGTGGTGGTTTTGAAATATAAGCATGCCCGTTTCTGCCTCCACAGCTTCCTATTCAATTCTTGCAACGCGATGGGAGCCAGCTGTCAAAATTGTCACAGCTGAGAGACAGATATTTGGTATGTTCCTAATGTGCCAGATGGCAAAGATCTCTGAGATATGTATCGGAATGCTGTGCAGTAAAAACGTTAAACCCAAAGTCGCAGAAACAAGGCTGGTAAGCGGTGGCTGAGCGCGTAGAGGAAAGGAAGCAGAGACCACTATTGGGTCTCGGCTCTCCATCTCCAGGCAACAACATTGGCTGTAGGGCATGAGGACCAGAGGTTTAAAGGCTGAGTAACCATAGTCCAAAATGGGATAGAAACATTTCGTATTCTGAGGACGCTCAGCATTGGCTCGATGCCGTCTTTGCACATGCTGCATATATCTAAGAAGAATCCCGGGGGAGTGGCCAGTTAATCTGGCGCTTTCAGGACGCGTTCTTCTTGCAGCACAGTTAATCGGTTATTGGTCGGTTCCATCGCCTGGAATAGGAAGTGGGGAAACGTTCATCTGCATCACGGTACGAAGGTGAGGACCGGGCAGTGCGTGATCTACATGTACCCGCATGAGTAGACCCTCGTATGTATATATCTTTCACTCTCTAACCCATGCTGGGCCGGACCCTTATCTTGGCTTCTAGGTTCTGTATTTAGAGTTTACATAGTCTTTCTCATCATCTCACCATTAAGTAATGGATGAAAACCCAGTTAAAGAGCACCCTTGGGTCAAATACCCAGTGTTGTGACCTAAACCGGTTTCTTCGGTGTGTTCCCACTTCAACTACTCGGCCTCCAACTAATCAGTCAACCAATCAGTTCAGCCCGTCATTAAGGTTCCCGATCGATGCTGTGAGGCGTTTCCCCCTCCCCGGAATCAACGAATATCAATGTAGCCGAGAAGGTTGATTTTGTGAGCCTTTAGCAACGTATACGTCTTGCTCTAATATTGCTAATAAAGACTCATACGTATATTCTAGACTATCTCGTACAATTCTGCCCTCCATTCTAGCACCTCTTGCTGTTTGGGCCATTAGCTTAGAACACCAGTTCCGGTGAAATAAAGCTTGGCTATTAAGCCCTCCGCCTTCCCGAAAAGAAATCTTCCACTCGGGACCTGAGTACTCTCCTAGGTCTGTTTTATACACTTGTCTATCTTCCTGATAGTATAATTATATCTTTTGAGATTTGTAGTGATCATCTAGTGCTTACCACAATGAATCATAGCTGCATGCACTGTTGTGATTAAGCATATATCTAGATGCAGATTTGACATTTTTGGCGTTCTGTTGAGACAACGTGCCTGATCTTGATCGAATTATACCAAAATTTTAAACTAAAGATGAGCTATAAGTTATAGCCTCAAGCTCAGCTACGCTGACATCATCAATGTCTATTTTCACGCTGACTAGAAATGTAGAGTAGCTGTGTACGTATACACTATCAGCAGGGACCTCAATAATTGTCTCATGTGGAGGTCACAACACATTCATACAGTCATGGTGATATATATATATACATATTTGCGCGATTCCTAATAACTCTAAGTACAAACGATTCCCCAGCAAAAGTTATCTCACTTCTCATGGCGAGGATTAATTCGAGGTTGATCGAGGTCCGCAGAAAGAAGTAAACCTGGAGATAGCCGTTTTAGAAAAGCAAATAACTATGATACAATTTTTCTAAATCAAGCCTTCGATGCGCAGGGCGGGGACTAACAGGACACAGACTCTGGGTGTTTTCCATGTCAAACCATATATCCGCCACGTTACGCACGTGTATTACTCTGGTAAAGTTGGAAACAACCATCACTTTGAATACGGGATCCTTCTCTGCAGGGTTCGAGAAGAAAACGAGTTCTCGTTACGTTGTGGGGGTAGCGGCCGGTGTTAAATTGATAGGCGATAAGTGGGACTTTAATCCGGGGTAGCAACTCTGGGGCGGAGGCACAGGGGTAGAATGTCCCGTGGTCCATAGCACTCGGAAGCTGCGGGGTGACCAGCATCTAGTAAGGTACCGCGAAAGACGGAAGGCATACATGTCGTTTGAAGTCGTTTCAGAGATGTTCATTTACTGGAAACAAAACTAATAGTGTTTCTACAGATGGGGGCCAGCTTTGCTTGGCGTGATATCAGAATACCTAGAGGTCAATTACGTCAAGCTGCTTAAAGAATCGGATCCAGGTTGATTCGATGGCACGAAGAGAGAGGTTCTTCTGTGCTACACGTGCGTGAGTTGTTAGCGAAGCACACCTAAGTTGGAAACTTTGTTTCATCGGTTCGTATTTAAATAAGGATTGAATGGAGCCTATGGATTCTGATTTCGCACTCTTCAGGTCCTAGCTTTGACGTGACCGCGTCCGAGGATATACGAGCCTGGTGGATAGCTAGAAAGCGAGATATGTTTAAGCGCGCCAGGCCACTTGCCTTGGATCGATAGATAGATACGTGTAGATAGTAGGTACTGTATGGACCTATCGTTACTAGGAAGTTGACAGGTCGCACTCGAGCTTTGTAGGCACAGTTAAGGCTAGAGTGAGTCAAGGCATCTGGTACCACCATTGGACCGTAATGAAGAGGTCCTGTACCCTTTGTTTATTTTGTGCTACTGATGTGATACACGTAGGTAGGTAGTACTAATACTTCGGCTTTGACGAAAGCCGAAACCCAAATTCCAAACACTGCTAACGCTATTCGCTCGCTCTCCCAGCTCAAGAACTCACCACACTTGGTCTGCCGAACTTCGCTCCAGTGATCGGTAGATCCACTACATATCATCTCTCATCAGTGAGCCAGAGCCTCATGCGAAAATGACCCATCAATGTTACATTTGGGTGCAGCTGGTTGGATACAGTGAGCTGCTGCCCTGTCAGATCGAGGGTTAGGTGAGGACGGACGGAATCCATCAGAACAGGCACAAATTACAATAACTTTCACAAAATTAACCGTGTATGACAGTTATGCTCTGCTGGAGCAACTATCGACCCTTCGGCCCTTGAGTTAGAGCGACCGAGCTCTTTTATCTACTATCTAGCTCTCTACTCTTGGGTCACGTGGGATCTTGGCATTCGGCGTTACAACTAAAACCTAGCGTTTTCGGCGATAGCACTCAACGAACAACGCCGATGGACCTAAGAGTCGTTATTACCGAAATCGTGAGCTTCAACAGAAGAACTTCACAAAATTCCATGTCGAGATAGCCTTTTAATTAACTAACATACCACTTTCGTGTGAGAAATTGGGGGTTAGAATGATGATTGAGATAGCATATATAGAGCTTGGTTAAGCACTCAATTCCAACAATTCCAACAACATCATCGATTTCAACACTCGACTCAATCTATATATAATATCAACAAGATACCTCAAGTCATCTACTTTTTCAATCATATAACTATGTCTCCTCAGATCTGGCTCATCACTGGTACCTCCTCTGGCTTCGGCGGACTTCTCACAAAGGCTGCCCTCGCTCACGGCGACAAAGTCATCGCGACTGCTCGTGACCCAGCTAAAATCGCGGACCTAAAAGCCCTCGGTGCTGCGACCCTTGCGCTCGATGTTACCGACACCGAAGAAAATGTCAATAAGACTATCTCTGCTGCAGTTGAAATCTATGGTCACATCGATATCTTGGTCAACAATGCTGCTTATATCCTTGAGGGTGCTATTGAAGAGTGCAGGTATGTAACACTGACCCCTGCATCAGTGCAAAAAGACCTTTGTCACTAAGATTGCAAATAGTCCGGAAGAGGAGTTCAAATCCTGGAATACCAATGTCTTCGGTGTCACGAAGGTGCTCCGTGCGGTTCTGCCCTACATGCGACTTCGCAAATCCGGCGTGATAGCGAATATGGGGTCGATTGGCGGTTGGAGAGGCTTCGGTGGAGCCGGTATGTACGGTGCAAGCAAGTTTGCGATTGCTGGACTGAGCGAGTGCCTTCGTCAAGAAGTTGCACCACTCGGGATAGAGGTTGTGTGCATTGAACCAGGTTACTTCCGTACCAATTTTTTGGCACCGGGACATCGTACATCGAGTGTGAAACACATCGCCGACTATGACCCTGTGATGGAGCCTCTGAGGAACATGTTGTCGGCATACAATGGCAAGCAACCAGGGGACCCTGAAAAGGGTGCGCGAGTGATTGTTGAGATTTTGACGAAGACAGGAAGGGTGCAGGGGAAGGCCTTGCCCGGCAGAATCCCATTAGGGTCGGATGCATTGAAGGTGATTGGAGGGTTTTGTACGGATACTGGGAAGACCCTTGAAGAGTGGAAGGATATTGCAGGCTCAACGGATCATGACGATGTTGCCAAGAATTAGTTACAGTGGGATCTTAGTGTATCCAGGATGTTACTATCGCAATATTTTCTATTTCCTTAGTAGTGTTAGATTATGTATCTAGAGCTGCATGTATCAAAGGGGTGGTCTTCACTTTAAATTTTAGTTTGATAGGTCAAATCTTATCCCGCAAAAGTGAATAAAGCTCATTCCACATAAATATATAAATAACACTTGATGCTTGGAGGGTATAAATCCCATTTCACGAAATCTAGCATTTCAGTTTTAGTACAGTCAGTATACAACATGTACCTGTGAAGCACCCCTGATCATTCAATGCCATCGTACGATTCTCCAGGAACTCTCCATAACATCCCCTCATAGCCCTCTTCGTTTCATCCCCAGTTTAACGTAAGATCCTTCAGAATGTTTGATCTACTCTCGGTAACTGATCCGATACTGTCAGATCCGCATGGCTGAAACATCACCGACAACAACAAGGTAGATCGATGTTTTTCAAAGTCCACGCAACAGAAACTGGAGGCGGGGACAAGATCTGAAAATTATTTGCTAACTAAAACTTCCAGAACAAGGTATATCCACCAGACCTTGCTGGCTCGGACCTTCATTATTTCTCCAGCTGGCATGCATGGGTATGCCTATCTCTACCATCCAGAGCATGTGACGCTTCATCCCAATAAAACGACATACATGTATATGTGCCCATTCCACTCTATGGATGTGAAGTGCAGGGTCTCTTTTCTTCGGCACCGGCTCGCCGGGGAAGTAAGGAGTCGAGGGCATCAACCAATTGTTGGCGCAGCACCCCCCACTCTTGTGGCCTACATACATGTAGGGGTAATATTCGCTGGGGTCCTGGGCCCATTGCGATCCTAGTTTGTTTAAGGGTTTTTCTTTTCTTTTGCAGAGATCCAGTTAGGTCAAGGAACAGAACGTCACTCTTTGTTATCACGGATACGAGCATGGCATAGTAAACATACTGGCATCAATTATTCTCAAAACCGCGGGGGAGGTTTGCGTCTACATGGGATAGGACTATAGACCTTAGAGATCGTATTGTTCCATCATACATGTAGTATCGATCATGTTGCTACATGTAGCTATACTCTTCGGGAGTCCAATTACAATTGCTTATGACGTAACAGTAAACGCATAACTACATATACATGCATACTAATATGAGTCTTTGTTTCATTGTTTTCATGGATTAAGATACATGTATATAGTCGAGATTCACAGTACATGGTGCAAACAAATCCCAAATTACTTGGCTGCCCACGAGAAAAATATCACGATATTACAAATGCAGGGTTGTCGCCAAGAAATGAAAAGCGTATGTGCATATTTTCTAATATTCTAGCGCGCTCGGAAGAAAAGAATACAACCGTTTTTTACTTGGGGTAATGTGGCTGCATTGCAGTTTTTATGAATCGCAACATTCTATCGAGTTTTTATGTAATAATCTTCGATATTGTGACATTGGGAATTCTAACGAAATCATCAAATTGCTTCTGGTAGTTATCCCAACGTCGTCTAGGTACTTGATATAGCATATTGCCTCAGTAATGTGATACCAAACGGCTCTTAGGATACCTACCGCTAAATCTCGAGTTATTCGGGGGGGTTTCCAAGGCAAAAAGCTGAGGATCTTCACCTTTAGAGGAAGAAAACAGCCCTCTTTTACAGGATCTAAACTAAATCTAGTTTAGCAGGTGGCCTTGGCAACCCCCCGAATAACTCGAGATTTAGCGGTACATGAAGTTTTAGCTAGTGTGTACATGTAGTTTGGGGGTATATTGCAGGTCTCTATGGCTTGGCTTTGGCTTGGGAACACTGTGGCTCTTAAAAGGGGCTAGTGAAATGAAAGTGGCTAGGCCAGATTGCCAACGGTCACGACTGCATGTAGTGACTACATGCCATATATCTCAGGTCACAGGCTGGTAAATAGACGTACAGATTTAATCTTCTTAACCATCACGTCGAATCAACCTATCTTTCACAGAGGAAATCTTTCCAATGACCGCATATGTTACTCTCGGATTAGGCCCAGAATTCCAGGCACAACTTACTGCTCTTGAGTTGATGACGGATCAGATCTTACAAGCCTGTTACACTCTCACGGAATCAAGAAATTCTTCGTTACATAAAGGTAAATGGTCTTATATCTATATTTATTTATGTACTTTAGCGGCTTTGCTGTCTCGCTGTCATCATGTAAAGTACTTATTTTCATTCACAGCCGAATACTCAGCCAGTTGTCTGTCTAGGAGATTACGCGTATGAGACCTATTAAACGTAAGCTTAATCACCACATAGGGATTATAATTTATCCGCTACTATCAGACACGCCTAGGTACTTTACAAGTGCGTACTAACCGCATCTTGTCGGCCGTCCCTGCAGATTTCAAACCAGACGCATTCAGCCTTAAAATTCCAAAGGACGGTTCGAGATGATGCACGGTTCAGCGTCCTATACATATGATTTACATAAGACCAGTAGCTAGAGGGTCCACGGGGCATACTGAGAATCTTTCGCTCCATGGTGGCCGGTTCCCTTGATCGAGGTGATCGAGTAACAGGATTATCCCCCGGTCCGTATATGTTCTACCTCAATTGTGGGGAACGAATTAGTTCCCAATGACAATACACGATCGTCGAAGTGTGTCTTAATACTTGTTCAGTACATATTGATCCTACACGATCTGCGAAGATTGTCTATTGACAATGACCAGAAGGCTTGGGAAACAGCTAAATGATCAAGGTTCCAAACTGATCTATACGGCACTCTCTTATCGTCTACCGATTTCTATTTGTCAAGATATATATTGATTCGCTATCTCACTGCGGTTTTGATGAATACCCCACAAATGCACTTGAATTCGGCATCTTCCAAAGGGAAAATGTGCTTCGAGGTTTTTTTCTGAATATGGACCGTACATCTCAAACATTATCATCACCTCAGGTGAAGATCAAGGCACAAGGCGCAGCCTGTAAGGTTCGTCATATCAGAAAACCTGAAGCTTTGATAACCACCATGTGCATGAGGCCTAGCTGTCGAAACGGCCTAGGCCTCTAAGTATTCGCCTCTGATCATACCCCACCTCTTTTTTAGATCGAGAAAACTATGTTGGCTCGCCCTCCTCCTATGACTTTCTATAAGACTTCCCAGGACAGTGGTACCCTAGTGGATAGGTTAACGAATATTTTCAACATGCGATATTGCACTCAACTCCTTTCAATCGCATGTCTCAGCCGCACGCAGTTCTACTTACTGACAAATGATGAAATCGACTAGGTGATGGGTATTACCGCAGGCTGCATAACTGATGATCCCCATTTGTTTTTTTCCTGTGCCAAGGGATACCAAAGAGGGGGGTTTCTCCGGAGTTCTTTCCTTGGCACTGGTCCGCATCACCATGTGACACAAGGACCTTGATTCTCCCCCAATTGATCACCACTTGGTACACGGTCTCTGAAAAGTCTAATGTGACTACTGCTTATGACTGCGCTGTGGTCGGATTCCAAGTTCCGGGGTCGACGTCCCCATACATACATATCTACAATGTACGTGCAATCGTGCTGAACTGTTTACCGGTACGCGGACCATGGGAGATACAATTTCCAGAAAATTATCTGTACACGTGAAACTAGGTTTGTCGCCCGCATCTTCCGGACCACAAAAAAGATAAGACAATAAGCAGATCAAATGGATCATTGACGGTTGATGGTAAAACCTGACCCTTGCAATAGGCCAAAAGAACACCTACCGGAATTAGCGCTGGCTAACACCGATTTCATTTGTTACTTTCAACAATTCAACAGGTATACTAATCATAAAGATGGGCGTTTAGGCTGGCCATAAGATTTCCCGGCCTATCAGATTCCCTATACACGGATTCGTTGGATTGAAAATAAACCTAACCCTCGGATCCATATTGCCAAGACCGAGTGATATCCTATGCACGGCTCGTGAACTATCACCAAAAAGAAGCCGTGCGATGCTTACATGAGGTATTGGGGCTTTTTGGTTATGTGGAACCTCTACCGGTGTTATATCCCACCATCTAGGGTTTAAGGGACCGAGATCGACTCTCAAGTCTCGGGTCGGCATTCAGTGTTTATCTCCGAATGCCGAAGTTGGCTGGGCGCCGTATGAGTGACTTAAGGTCCGTAATGCCATTTCCCACATTCACAGTATAGGCATATTCATGTGATGCTTTGTCAATAGATCTGGGCCAGTTGCACCGGTAACCTATCGATTCCTTTTGCTAGGTGCACCTTTTAGAAGGGGCGCATCGATTACCGAAGATTAAACCGTTTTCTTGACACACGCCACCTAACGGTCCCCAGGTTTGGGACGACATGACGCTAAGAGGATTGGGTCATCATTCATGCAAGTAAGGTCGCAAGTAAGTAACTTTACTGGCATTGAGAAAGTTGACGCGAGAGATTTGAGATTTTGTCAGATCAGATTTTGCCTTGCAGAATCTTGGCGAGGAAAGTAAATATATTACTCTCCAAGCAACAATTACCGATTATGTTGCGCAATAGGGCTGCATGGTCCACGTGGGGAACCAGTGAAGGGAATGGGAGCTATATATAATCATAAGGCAGGGTCCCTAGGTAGGTAATCATCATGTAGCTCCATGCCTTGCGCAATTGTAGGCATTAAACGGAAGCCTGTCGATTCGGTATGTGAGTTTCTCCGAACCACTCGGTTGTATCCCGACACCTCCTTCCTGTTCTTTTCCCATCCATCAGGAGCCTGTTCTTGGGCTAGCAGGATTGTTTGACCTTGCACATGCCAATCACACCCACACTCAATCCTGGGTCAACCTGGTGTATATATGTGTGTGGTGCTGGGTGTGCGCGTGCGAGTGGGTGTGCAAGTACGTGGGTATGCGAGTGGGTGTGGTTGTTTGGTGTGGTGTGTGCGAGTTGATGGCCATGGATCCACTGGCCAGTACTGATCCCGAAGGTTATCGGAATCGTGATTGAGTCATTCATCCCTAGCTATGCACCCATCTATAACTGCCGTCAGGTATAACTGTACGTACGGTTGCCCCTGGTTCCTGGAAGGTGTTAATTCCGTCCGTGTGGGTAGCAAAATGTCAGAGATGATTACCGGCAACCTGCGAGTCGGTAACTCGTCCTCTGGAGGAAATCTGTGGTATGTGCGGTGCTTGGGAACGCTCCGATCGTCGTTGCCAATATTAATATATTGCTTCATACTGTTGATCGAATTATACGTCTACCGGGAATATTCTCTAGGGACAAGGGAACAACAGATCTTCCCATCCCCTCGGGGACATTTTTAAAAAATAATTCCCAGCTAGTGCTATAGCTATGAGCACCTTGGGGTCAGCCCGACGATATTCGTGTGTCTGTGTGTCTGCGTTTGCAGGCAAAAAATGTTCCCGGGCTGTATAAACGTATCGATACGTACATGTACATGTACGGTCTAACGGTGTCATTCCCGCCATACAGAGATAAACCACGTCTCGGCTCTGGCTCTTTCTCTCTCTTTTCTGACATTACCTTATAGCTTACTTTACCTTACACACCCCCATGCGTGCCAGCCAGATGCTTAAAAAAACCTTAAGCTGTTTTTAGCGAAGTGCCCTTTGCGCAGCTAGCAGCTGGCCAGCACGTAGCTGTCTGTCAGTCATGTATACCAGCACTCTAATCCCCAGCTATGTACGTGTGTAGTTGCCTGGCATGCCGGCCAGCTACGCCTCGCGCGCGTTTACTGTGTTGAGAGAGAAATCGAGAGAAGAAGAGAGCGGTTCGGCTGGAAGCAGTTCCGTATCCAGCATGCAGCGAAAATTACGTTTGTTTCTTTCGGCGGGGGTGTTCGGTCGTGGGCGCCCGTCATGAATTATCACTCTGGTTTGCAACCTACCCACCCTGGCTAGCGTAAAATCCGTTGTGCTAACGCCGCCCGAAGGTTTTAAATTTTCTTTCGGCTATTGAATAGGAATATATAATCGGAACCGTTCGGCAATACATTACAAGGCGGGAAGATAAGGACGCAGAATTGTCGGTAATGTGCTTGTATTGGTAATGTTGTCGGTCGGAAGGAAGGAAAAACTCATCACGGAACAATGCAATGTAGCTTGGTAATTAACCCAGCTACAGCTACAGCTGCGTTACATAGATCTAGCCTCGCTTGACCCGCTGCATAGCGACCGCGATGGTGGGTATAGTAACACAGCGACAGCGAGCTGATGATGCCCCCAAGACTACGATAATAGTTACAGACTCTATCGTTTCTGTGTTACGGTGTCGGTCGCGCAGGGAGATAGCAGCGGTCGGCCGGGCTCGGTCATGAGGTATCACTCACCCTACACGTTTTACGAAGAGGTACAAGAGAGTCAAGTAACTCCGCCGATAATTACTTGGTGTTATTTGTATTTATCGCAGAGAGCGCGGTGTCTACGCATATTCTAGGTGGCAATCCACCACAGAGTAGTAGGAACACAATACAAACCGGCTAAATAGCTACATGTAGTTTGAAACCCTCATACGGCCCGCCCACGATGCGACAAGCTCTAAGGCATACCAAACTTAGTACTTGAAGCCTTTGAGTCATTGTAATAGTTTCTCCTCTCCCGGAGGATGTGTAACTACTCCACTCGTAAATGTATCTTTCCGTTTGATGCCGCTTCATTTATGGGAACGAACTCTTTCCCCCGGCTGTCTACATGAACTACGTAATTACTTGTTAATTACTGCTGGAATGTCCCTAATTATAATGCCACCGGTAGCCATAGCCTCCGAACAATATCAAGAGTTTTCTCAAGGGTCTTCCCTTTATTACAGAAACACAATGTTAAGCGTTTTCTGTTCTTTGTTTCCTGCCAAGATTATTTCTCTCATGGCGGCGCTACAAGTAATTTCTCGTGTTCAATAATTCACAACTAGTCTTTAGAAGTATTTCACGTATAGAATGACCTTACTTATAACTCAATATTCGAGTATCTCCAGGTTGGAGGTGATCGGACCATCAGTTTCCCTCCAAAAACCCACCAGCACTTTTAGTAGCTAAACAATCATTGACCTCTGGCTTCCTATATATCCTTCATTTAATACTGCATTCCCCATGGCAAAAGAAGCCTACCTGTACACCCTGATCACCCTCCTCTTCATTCATGTATCCGCCCAATTACTGCAGCTCCCCCCTCCCACAGGACCCTTCACCGTCGGTACCCTAGAGATACAGATACACGACTCTCGGCGGCTCGACGTATTCGCACCAACCCCCAATATCCCCCGCACATTCATGGTACAGGTCTTCTACCCCGCCAAACACAGCACACTCCACACCCTGTACTACGCCGCCTCGTACATGAAGCAGCAGGCAGCCCTTGCCTACGAAGCCGCCAAGGGCCTACAGGCTGGTACCCTCAGCGCTCTGCAGAGCAACTCGCTCCCCGGCGCGACCCTCCACGTCGCCGACAACAACCTCACAAACATTATCATCTTCTCACCGGGGTTCCAGCTCTCGCGCGTGTTCTATACCAGTATCTTAGAGGACCTTGCGTCGAAAGGGTATGTGGTGATTGCCATCGACCACACCTACGATGCCGAGGCGGTCGAGATGGCCGATGGCTCTGTGGCCACGGGACACTTCGTGGGCGTGCCCGAGGCAGATCTGGACCTGAGCGAGGTATCACAGGCGTTTACTGCGCGCACGGAGGACGTGGTGTATGTGATTGACGCAGTGTGGGAGATCATGGCGCATGTGCCGGGTTTCACTGACTTTGTCGATATCGGCGGGCTGGCGGTGTTTGGGCACTCGTTTGGCGGGGCAGTAGCAGCAGAAGTTTGTTGGCTTGATGGGCGGGTGCTGGGCGGGCTGAACATGGACGGGGACTTCTACGGCGAGGTTGTGGGCGAGGGGTTGAATAAGCCGTTTATGTACATGGATTCTGCGCACGGTGATGATGTTGTACGGAGTCCGGCACAGGTGGAGGTGTGGGAGAGGCTGCGGAGCTGGAGGAGACATGTGAGAGTGAGCGGGCTGCGGCATATGGGCTATTCAGATTTCCCAGTGCTGACGGAGCTGTTGGGGCTGGCGGAGGAAATGCCGGAGGGTGTGTATGAGGGCTTGTATGGCGCGGCGGAGGCAGCGAGGAGTGCGCTGGTGGTGAAGACGTTTGTAGCGGCGTTTTTTGACTTTTTGTTTACTGGGGTGAAGAGTGTGTTGTTGTCGAATGAGTTGAACGAGGAGTGGCCCGAGGTGTCGTTCCCGATGGGGAGGGATTTCAAGTAGTGTTCTTGATATCGATATTGGGTTGGCTGTAATATAACTACCTGGGCTGACTTCTTTGTGTGTCGAGTGATATGTTGTGTATTTGGTGGCGTATTTTGTACAAATTTCAATTGGTGTTAAGTATATGTAGTTAGCTGTAAAACGGCTTTTAGACTCTTTTCAAAGTTTCTGTCCCATATATAATATATTGAACTCGGGCAAAGTTTTGTGCAGAGTTACCGAGGACGGAGCTAGAATTATCTATGTTCGGTGATTCTTTAGTTTTGTTTGAAACGTCTCCTCCATGCAATATATATGATCAGATACAAGGACGGGAGACCAAAATTTGTCAAATGAATTGGCACCCCACAAGTTAGCAAATATTCTAGTACTTAATTTAGCACAATACCAACATCTTTTACCGTCAGAACTCTCCACTTGTTGACATAGATATTGTTTTCTGAGATGATTTTTGTGAATTAGCAAAATAAAGAACCGAGAATATAGAGAATGTATTATATGAATTGATGAGTAGAATCAAGGAGAGAGAACGAAAGCTCGCTCTTTACAGTTTAGTGGCCAAATTACCTCTAATTCAAAAGTACAGATAGCTTGGAACAACGTCCAAACTACGTACACATCATAAAACGTTTAACAATGCAATTATTAACAATATCCACCATAGGCGCAATGACTTGCCACAATCAACAGATATTGCAAATATTGACTCTAGAATTCGAATTCCTAGTTCGGCATCCGGATCCTCTCATTACAGTTTCCTCTTGCTTGGCAAGAGAGACCTGATATTGCTATGATCTGAGCTGGATCATTTGAAAATGCTATTCGCCTGTTCCCCTCAAACTAGAATCCTTTCAAAAGCATTATTCCGACCACGATACCGCTCGATCCCTGGTATGTACTGCAATTATAATTACGGTCAGTTCAGGTGTTTCATGAGCGCAAAGAGGAAATGAACATCCGCACCAAGAGCTTACCAATTGCTAAACATAATTGAGCTTTATATTTAGCAAGACTTTAAGTTTAAATATCTCACCGTAGTTTCAATTAAGTTTCTCGCAGCAGCGGGGTACGTACGCCTTTCCAAGCAGTTTCACGCAGCATCCTCACAGCCTCCAGATCCCCCATCCCACGCTACCCGGAACTGACCTCAATGCAAAATGATTGGGTAGGTCCAGAGGTCAAGACAATTCCTCTCAAAAAGAAATTCCATTCTCGAAAAGCAAAACCCCTACTCCACCAGCTGACAACATTACGATCAAAGGGTCTACTGGAAACCAATTAGCCCTCCAGGATTATCGTGAACCCATTCCCAAACACAATACGTACTCTGATAACGTAACAGAAAACCTCAAAAGAAGTATCATATATAACCCCCCTAGCCCCACTCAGTATGAAATGCACGCTGTATCTCCATCGCGTTACTTTCCCCCGTTGCTCGAAGATCGTGGATGGCACATGTGGACACTTTTCTTCTACCCAAGGCTGTGGAATTTATGCGTATGACTGTACTTTCAGCACCTTTTTCGCACCAGATCCAGACCCCAGAAGCAAATCAATACAATCACCAAGCCAGTGTAACCATAATTATTCCAGCTATATATCTGTCTCGGAGCGTAGTAGCCCGATTGAGTCGGCGAAATTCTGGGTAGAGTACGCCGGTGGGCAGGTATGTAAAAGTCTCCGGCATGTACATGTACGCGTGCTAGTAGGTACTCGTAGTAGGTAACAAGTACCCGAAAATGCACGTCCTAATCTGCAATTTCCATTGGAGTAGAAGTCAAAAATACACCAAAAACTTGCAGCTGCATATTCGGGTACTTCATGCCTGTCGCGAGTAGACGTGAAGTAAGAATTCACCAATGATGTTGATGTTCTTGCGCTATTAGGCTCTTAAGATCTAGATGTAGCGTTTTCTCCGAGACATCCCCTTACAAGATCTGGTGGCTCATGTACCTAATACCGCAGTAATATGCATAACAAGCGCGTGTTTTGCGAAAAAGCAACGCCGAATTTTGGCCGGCACCGGCAGCCGAGAAATGATAGTTATCGCGATACTACATGTAATAATTCTTGAACTGGTTATGAGCTACATAAATGTAGGTAGAGAGATATGCAGATAATGCGGGGCCTTATTCAATGTTTTTATCGCCATGCGGGGCAATGATTGTTCATGCTATATCAATATGCGCTTGCTAAATAAAATAATGGAGCTAGGCGATCATAATATGAGATATCCTTATCACGCTAATCTATGTTCTTGCAGCTAGCAGGATCGATTTGTGCAACGTAGTTAAACGTCTCCCTATCTCACAACTGGCTTTAATTATCGACTTGACCATATTCTACGAGTACGTGGGTTGGATTCCAGACAATCCTTATACCCCGATCGCGAAGGAAAGATTCTTCCTCATCAAACTACTACAATTGGGTGAATTCTACATTTTATGCGCAATTACTTTCAGGGCCCGAGTTTCGTTCGAATCCATCAACTTGGAGATCAATCCCGACACCTCAAGCATCTTTCCAGCAATGCCGTTGCGTGGCCCAACTCCACTTATAAACGCGGTGATAGCTTTGATTCTGAATAAAGTTGTTACCGGGTTATGCCATTTGAGGATGTTCAACGAAATATCCAAACAAATGTCTTCCCGCCAAAAGTGGTCTTAAGCGCTTTCTGACAATCAACGGTTTTACCGAACGCCCTACGCACGTCATTCCGTTGCGTGAGTTTTATTTACGACGGATAAACAGAGATCCATGCACGTCCTTGGACATATGTAACTCTCGTATAAAGAGTGCTCGTGATGAATAGAGTCTCGGTCTTTATACTAATCAAACCCGGGCTTCATTGCGGGAAAGTCGAGTTCCGAAGATAGTCATTTATCGGAGATTAGGATGAATATTAGTACCGGAACTTGGTAGTAAATAGTACTAGATTAACCGGATTCGATACTGTCTACCGAATTGTTAGATTATATTATCAAGAATGAGTCAACCCCCCTGACTTCGTGTGACGTCATGTGACGTCAATCCTTATAGTAAATATCAAGTGATAGCAACATCACAAACGTTGAGATCTGGAGGCCGGAAGTGCTTCTCTATAGTGTTTTGAAGAATTCTTGAGCCACTGAGCAGATCATTCGATTCTATAAGTGCCGAGAAATCTTTGCTATATAAGGTGACTTATCTGCTCTGAAGAAGTATACGTTAATCCTTTCACCTACAGTTTGATAGAACATCAAGAAACACACCTCGAGAAGATTCGATTATTATTATTATACAATGGCTGCAACCGTCGAAGTCAGACCGCTCCTCACAGCGACGGGGTTTTTAACTCGAAAATATCTCTTCGCTGATGCGACTCCTGAGAATGGAGATGAGTCGGTAGCACTCCCAGTATGGGCGTTCTATATCTATCACCCCGAGAAGAAAATCCAGGCATTGTGGGATTTGGGCATAGCTAAGGTACTAGACCGTTCGTTAGAATCACTAGCCTCAGTTAACAAGAAAAAAACTAGGACTCCAGCAAGATCTCGCCGTCCATTCGAGAGGCCATGGCAGCTGTCATGAGGCCAACAATCGTCCAAGACGCTGCAGAGATTCTTACCAGTAACGGGATCTCACCTGCCGACATCGACTATATCCTCATATCTCACCCCCACGTAGACCACATCGGGGATCCCTCAAAGTTCCCCAACGCGACGATGATCCTCGGGAAAGGAACACAAGCTCATTGCCGCCCGGGATGGCCCATAAACCCTGACTCGGGGTTTGTGGAGGAGAACTTCCCAGACGGTCGTACACAGGAGCTCGAGGACGCCGATTATGCGACGTCTGTGGGTCCGTGGCCGAAGGCGCATGACTTTTTTGGTGATGGGAGCGTTCTATTGATCGATGCGCCGGGACATCTTCCAGGACACCAGGTTGCTCTAGTGAGGACGGAAAATGGGAGGCTATTGTTAGGCGGTGACTCTTGTCATCATTGTGCTCACCTCACGTCGTTCCAGAAGGGCGGGAATATGAGTTATAATTTGCACTTGGATGAGGATGATGCGAGACTAAATTTGGAAAGAATAGACCAGTTTCTGAAGGAAGAGAAGGATGTAAAGCTTTGTTTAGCGCACGTTGGGGAACATAATGAGGGGTTTGAGAAGATCTATGGAAACGCGTAATGTGGCTTGGCAATTAGGGTTTGTGTGATGGACACGGTATGTATATGGACTTCTGTGTACATAGATTCTTCTCGAAGGTCTCCTCGCTAAATGGACAACTCTACTCCTTCCATTTCCGGTTGTGCTACGATTCCTCGTGTCGAGACGAGTCGGGTCATGATGTCTTCTCGAGGAAACAGGTTCGAACCCATGAGACCCCATGAAGCTCCCATGCGACATGCAAGCCAGCTCCATATCACCCCTAATTAGGCACGAGACTACCAAGGATTGGTAACAGCCCTTGTTCCGATAACATGATCTCACATTGGATAAAATTCTCCTACCAGTGGAGTAGATTAGTAACCAAACATTTGAAGATCCCAAATTTGCACCTCCGCTTAGCACTAATGCATTACTATTATGGAACGGTACTATTGGTAAAATTGGAGATGATGTCCATAAGGGCAGAGGAAGGCGCTTTTGAGAATCACAGGCTATCACTCGCTTAAAGCTCGAACAGAACTCGCACCAATTACAGACCCGAGCTCATAAATGACATCAGATGAGATCCATTTATTTCCAGTGACTCATGGATATCGCTTAAATGTGTATTTAGGCTATTGGTGACACGAAACTTCCGTTAGCGAAACTTTTTGAAACGCAAACTTCACTAGCAGGGTTAAAGGTACAGTGGACTTTAGCGTTACAACGGCCTCCATATACTTCGTTTTGAATAAAAGTCGGTCCCAGGTACAAGTGCTTTTTGAAATAGAGTTTTTTAGCCTTCGTAAGTGGCACACCAAACAAAAGAAATTCTATCAAAAAGGATCTACAGTTGAAGGATTTTCA